CTAGGGTCAGCACTGTACCTCCCGACAGTAAGAATTCGCATAGTGGAGTTCCAATCCACAAAGCGAGGAAGAGGAGACAGGCAACGATCTCGATTCCAAAAGAAAAAGAATCGAAAAACCCAGAAAAATAATGGTCACCTCGAAGTCGAGGGATCCAGAGTGCGAAAAGGCAAGAGAAAGAGAAATGGGTAGAAGGAAGCGTGCCTAGACAGGGAAGAGAGCAACAAACAGCAGCCAAAGAACAAAATTGGAGGAGAGGAACAAAGCAGGACTTCGAGTCGAACTCAGAAAGCACAGTCTAGAGCAAAGAATAAGGGAATCGCATGGAGGAAAGCCCAGAAATCACAGAGGTGAACAGCGTAGAAGACGAACGGTGGTTTTGTACGTTTTTTTTTAGCCGTTTTGAGCATTTAAGGCTTGAAAGACGTGGGATGAGGTGTGCGCGGGAACCAAGGGAGCCATGATTGCTGCTACCATCAAAAAGCCCCTCCCACGTGCATCTCACATGTAGGCTAAGGTCAGCTAGGCGCAAGTCTGGTCCAAGGTAAAAGTAGCTTAGCCCATGCCCAAGCTCGCTTGGGCCAAGGGCTGGAAGGGCAACTGATGATACCTCAAGATAAATCACAAACGTCAGCTCAGCCCAGGAGGTCAGACTAGACAAACAAAACTCGAAAGAGTAAGAGTAAAAGGTCCCTTCGAGATAAGCAAGGGCAATAACAACCAAGGCAACAGCTGGAAGATCACGAGAGGTTCCTAAAAGCGTTAGGAAGTAATAAGCAAGACACCTAATCTCAACCAACCAAGACCTTCTCCAATAATCAAGGAGAACTCACGAAATAAGGGCAAGAATCTCGGCTAAGATCCCACTGAATAGGGAACAGCCCTATAAATACTATATAACACCCCCAAAGAAAAGAAGAAACCCTAGAGGTAAAAACTAGTTATTGTACTCTTGCAATCATCATTATTGAAAGACAAGGAGCAAGAGTCTCTATTAAAGAGTGGATTAGCCGAACTTCCGAGCTGATGAACCACTATATTTCTACTGTGTTAGTTCTCCAACTCCCCGACAATTCTCAGTATCATTCACTCGAGTCTAGTAGCTCAGATCCCAACAATTCCACTGTTGTTTCTTTTATTTACTCGTCATCACAAATTTGTTTTACGTTAAAATACACCATCAGGTCTATTTATTGAAGAGAATGAATATATATAAAGTAGGGTGCCATCATGTAAATCACTTTTTTTTTAATGTGATTAAAAAGTTTAAATGTAAATAAATTATATTATTGTGGTTAAAATATTAAAATTTAAGTTATAATATAAATCGTCGGATTGTTATTAATCTTTGTTCAAACAGGACTATATGCTTTATTATTATATACATGAGTGTTTGATTATCCTTTTTGTTCTTAGCTTTTTTTTATAAAAAGTTATTCGCTATGTTGTGTTTTTCAATAACAAATTAATCATTCTCTTCTTTTCAACTATCAAACAAAGAGAGTTATTATGGCATCATTTTTGGTTCCTCTTCCCTCGTGCACAATGAAACCTCAAAGAAGACCTTCTTATTTTAATACGACTTGTCTATGTTACCGAAAAAATAAATTTCGGTATCATACCTCTATCTATCATATTTATAAATTTTATTATTATTATTATAGTTTTTTTATTATTATTATGGTATTAAAAAAAGTGATAAAAATAATTATCACAATAATATTAAAAATATCCACAATAATAATAAAAATATTCAAAAATGTGGCAAATCACTCACAAAATTAGTAATTTTTTTTATACCCTAAAAAAAGTGGTAAAAATAATTACCATAATAATGATAAAAATACTCATAAAAGTGTTAAATTATCCATAAAAATTATAAATTTTTTAGTTATAAAATAACTTATCGAAATTATAAAAAAATCTATTAAAATAATAAATTTTAAAGTTAGGGTATCCATTTTTTTTCTGTCGGTAAAGGTAGTCAAGTCCGTTTTAATAATAATGTACTTGAACAATTATTACTTAATGACTGGACTTAAAAAAGTCGAAAAAAGACACTATTTAATTACCTATTGTAAAGGACAGAAGAATTAATTATTTCAATGAAAAAGGACGGCCTTCACATTGACCCAACCGACTGTCCTTCCAATATTAATGGAGCCAAGCCATCCAGCCANACTTCGTAAATGAGTGTACTCGATACTACACAATTAATAAATTAATTGGGTATATGTAAAACCAATCAAAAGAAATATACGACACGACTTATTTATATGTCGATTATACATTATTCATACACAAAATAAATCTAATATGACACGATTCGTTAGACGCCAATTAATAAACGAATTAATTATATGTTGAATATTTTTTAACACGAACCATCTCAAGAAAGAGGGAAAAAAATAAGGTTATTGTTGGAGTTGTATTTTAGGACTTTTATGTTTATTCGTCTATTTCATCAGTTAATTCAGGTCAATGAAAACTTGAAAGAGCCAAATTGTTTAAATTGAAACCATAAGGAGTTGATTATAACATAACCCAAATTTAGAGGGGACATTTTATAATTAACCTTAAAAATAAAATTTATTTTCAGTGAATATTGAAAAATGTTAGGTAACATTGAAAACCTAATTCTCCTCACCCTTAAGATGTTACATTGTACTCAACTAATTGGGGTGCAACAATGTTGACCTCTCACCTAATTATTATTATTTTTTTGTTATTATAAGAATGTCTAAATCAATTTACGTACATTTCGACTAATCCTCTCTTCGATCAGATCATATCATCTAATCTTTCAAAGTTCTATATTCCTCGATCATTGAATTGATTCGCCACTTTGATTATATTTAAATTTAAAGTTTTTCTTTTGTTGATATTTTATTATTTATTGTGGGAGAAGTGAGGGTGAGATTTGAGCCCTCCACATGTGGCCTCTACATCCACTCCTATGCTTAAGTCTTGGACATGACAAATGAATAATAAGGAGTTGTATGGGCTGATTAGTAAAAACGATGGGAGGTGTGAAAGTTAGTACGGTGTGCCGACCTCGTATAGTTTATTTTAATCATGATTTAAGTAGGTTGGGATTTCAATCGATTTGAATCTTAATTCGATTTAAAATTTTTGATATGAATTCGGTTTGATTAAATTGTAGATTTTAATTTCACTGTCCATATTCAATCATTAAAGGTTGAAAATTGGGCACGGAAACCCAATCTAATTTTGTGTTATATAGAGTAATCTTTTTCATATCAAAATTGGATTCAAACTTGCCTATTTGTCTCCCCCTCCCCCCAAAAAAGAAAAGGTGATTAGCTTTACTTGTATCTTATTCGTGTTAAGTTTTAGTGGGTTCGTGTTAAAAAATATTTTACTTATACCCGATTCGTTTATTAATTTATGTCCAACAAATCATGTCATATTAGATTTGTGTCGTGTATTTTTTTTTTATTAACTTCACTTGTACCCGATTCATTTATTAATCATATCGTGTCGTGTGTCCACTCATTTATAAAATAAATAATTTAAGAAAGACTTAAACTATCTAATTCCGTGTTGTATTATACCCAGAATAAAAGAACAAAAATGAATTCATATAGATTTAACTACTGAATCGATTCCCAATAGTATCTTTGGGGCTAATTTAGATCATGAAGATCTTAAACTCAACTAAAGGTTTTTTTTTTTTTTTTAACTAATCTCACTTTATACCTCGAAAGATATTTCGATTCTCAATTTATAGCCTCAAACATTTAATTCCTCAATTTGCTCACTCAATTTATGAATTGGTAGAAATGTGACCATGACTCAGATTATCGTTTAGTTTTTTGATATAAATTGAAGCACGTGAGTTACAAGTACTTTGAGCATGGACTTATATGTAAATTTACAAACTGATGACACCTCATAAATTATATTTTAAAGATCAACCTGAATTTGATTTGAATATTCATAAAATATTAGTTTCTTAATTACTATATCTTTGTTAAAGGTTGAAAATCCAACCCTAGGTTCGATCTTATCCGATTAACTTAATTAAAGTTAAATTTTACCAAATCAAATACAAAATTTCAATTCAATTTCATCAAGTAATTACTTAAAGTTATATTCAATTATTCATATGTGTAATTCAAAGCGAATAATAATTATATTTGGAAATAATAAAGTGGATTTGAATTGAAAATCGACGAATCTATCAAAAAAAAAATCAATTATTTCATGACCAAGTGGATTCAAATTCAGATCTAGGTCTGATTCATTGAATGGTGTAGATTTAAAGCCTTTGATGGGTTACATTCAGGTGATGCTCAAGGCCATTGTAGGGATGTTCAACAAAGGCCTTGGGCCTACATAAGTTTAACAACTAACCCAATTTTTTTTTTGTTGCCATTGTGAACTTTTCATTGTAATGCACAAGTCTTATCGTGTATAATGCATACGGATGTGGGAATACAAGATTTTCTATTTATAGCGAAATTTCGGAAACGTATTTGATAAGCAGCCGCACTCCCATGTTGAGAGTATGATTCTCGACTGTGAAATCAATGGTTAAGATTAACAGGTCTACATTTTAAGTCCATGTAGCATTACTCTATACATTTGACCGTATAAACTCTTGTCATCGCTTCAAATCCGATCCCTAACAAAAAAAAGGAAATTAAAAACAAGGGAAAGAGATGGTAATGAATCCATACTTGTGAATTCCCAATTATCATCTTGTATGGGCCAACACAATGTAACTCTAACTCAAGTTAAGGGCCTTTAGCCCTGAGCCCAGGATTTTGAGCCCAACTCAATAACAGCGTGCTTTGTTGATACTATGAGGGGTATTATCGTCCTATCAATAGTCCATGGCAACGTCGTAATTAACAGCAACAGCCATAACTAACATTCACGTTTATTTCAACTTCAATCGAAGAAAACCCCGCCAAAATCCTCCCATTACCCCCCAAGAACCAAGGACCGCTTCGGAACTCTCTTCTTCTCCGGCAATGGCGTCCGATAACGGTCACCTCTCCGGCAATATCCTGACACTCTTCTTCACTCTCCTCCTCATCTCTCTGCCCAGCGCAGTCAACTCCATTCCGGTTTATGAAATCGATTCCATGCTCTCAGTCCTCAGAGCCAGAGGCTACAATCTCTTCTGCAACGCCATCGCCGTCTCTGACGTCCTCTACGATGTCATCGACGGATCTAACTTCACATTCTTTGCTCCCACCGACTCGAATCTCTTCGCTCTCGACATGACCAACACGGCGTCGGACTACACCACCATTCTCCGGTACCACGTCGTTCCACAACGCCTCGCTCTCGACGATCTCAGAGGACTTCCCTCTGTTACTGTCTTCGATACGATGCTGAAAAATCGTGATATTCTTATTGAGAGGAGGCCAGGGCCGGAGTATGACGTCATCACCGTCGACGGAGTTGCTGTTGTTATGCCTGGCTTGTTCTATGGCAGAGATGTTGCTGTTCATGGATTGGGAGGAATTCTTAGTCTAAGGTCTCAGATTGCATCGCGTCATTTATCGCCACAAATGACGCCTCAGCCTGCACCTGCAAATTTCTTCGTTGATAATAGTTCACAATCGCCGGCGGTAGATCACCGTTCAGCGTCTCCTTCGCCGGAAGATTTCATTGGTAATCTTAATTTCTCACTTCCGCCAGTAGGTCATATCCATGCGCCACCTCCAGCAGCTAATTTCACCGGTAGTCAAAGCTTTTCCTCGCCGGTGGTCAGTCCGGTCGTGTCTCCGGTGCCTGAAACTGTCAGTATTCATGTAATTTCACCGGCGGTTTCTCCGGGAGATGCTTCCCTTTCTTCGGCAAATGATTCTTTGCCGAACATTTCATCCGATCAGACTTTTGCTTCAAGGATTGAACCACCGGTGCCGGCTATATGTCAGACTGATAATCCCGATGTTCTTTGGCTCTCTGACTGCAAAACATACGAAGATCACCACGGAGACCCAAAACTGATGCAATTGAGGATGACTTCCCNGGATTGAACCACCGGTGCCGGCTATATGTCAGACTGATAATCCCGATGTTCTTTGGCTCTCTGACTGCGAAACATACGAAGATCACCACGGAGACCCAAAACTGATGCAATTGAGGATGACTTCCCTGGTCGGATTAGTTGATAAGGAAGAAGAAGAAGAACTCAGGGACAAGAATCCATTTCCCGGTGCCATACCGGTGGTGACACCGGAGGTGATGGTCGGAGTCACGGATAAGACGCCGGACAAGTCTAAGCCGTTTGATGAGAAAACTTTTGACTGCCCAGTGACCGATGATGAAACCACACTGGAGCACTTCATCTACCCCACAACTACTTGTTCTACATAAGACACGTGGTAAAATCATATCCATTAGTTTCCTCTCATCTTGTCAATTTGTTCCTTTGTTCTTGGCTTTCAAGTTTGAAGCTGCATTTGTGTGATTTGACTCTCCTTACTTCATCATCAAACAACTTTTGGTATTACCTTCTTCACATGCGATAAGTAATATTGATGATCTTATTATGTCGTTTGTATCAATTAAATTCTCAAATTACTTTTTATTTTAATTTAATTTTTTAAGTATGCAATTTAATTCAATATGATATTTTTCTTTAAAATTTGTCATTAATTTAAACAAAAAATCTCATGCGCACATCAAGTTTACATCATACGGGTGTTATTCGGAATAGTTAAAGAGTCAACGCTAGACTTATAATTTTCAACTCTAATAAGAGGTACTCGACTCGAGTATTGCCTAAGTTAAATTCAAACAATTTAGGGTTGAATTCAAATTATTTAATTCACACTGATCTCAAGTTAGCATTCGAATTGAGTTCAAATTACTTAATTCGAATTGGTTTCGAATTAGAATTGTTGTTAGATTTGTTAAAGTAAATTGTGAAGTATAGACCCCAGTTGTAAGTTATATTATTGAATTTATTGATTTATATATTTATTTTTAAATACATTCGGGTTGAATCTAATTTATATATTTGAGTTGAACCTAGTAACCTAAGTCGTCAACTTGGGTATTGTCCGAATTCAATTTGGGTTGATACTTTTCGGCTCAGGTCAAACACAAGTATTAAAAACCTCAATCCAAATCTTATTTTTTTCAAATTGGGTTCGGATTGACATGCCCAAGTTTCACTCCTAATACATCTCATGTATTGTATTAACTATGATGTGTACCCCTGCCACACATGATGTGTACGTGTGCAATTTTCCGTTAAAGGTAATGCTATTTAAACCTAAAAATTAAATTTATTTGCTAACCTAATGATGTAATTTTATTAAAACATTAGATGAAAAACAAGTGCTAATGTTTGATTAAACCTACAATCAATTCAAAAATCATAATAAATCAGTTCAACAAATAAAGTTACATTTTTAAATCTAAATAATATTACTCTTTCTTTAAATTTAACAACGAATTTGTACTAAAATGCCAAATTCAATAATTAAAAGACTAAATTGACACAAAAATTAGTTTGGGCGCTTAATTTATAAAAATAGCATAGTTTAGAACTCATCGGTGTAGTGAACTTCTGTGAAAAACATATCCCTTTTTGTATGTCTCAAGCATAACAGTTCACCCATTTCGTAGCCATGTTCGGATACATAAAGCAAAAGCTTTTGCTAACATAAACTACTAGCCCAAAAAATCAATTAAATCATGAAGAATTTGATTCCCTTGTTCCTACATTTGACTATATTAACATCAATCAACTTTTTCTGACTGGGTTGTGGCAAGCCGCAGCACAATAGTGTGATCGGCAAAATCAAGCTGCAGTAAAGTGACCAAAATCCCATCATCATATAGCCAGACATTGTTATGTTGAAATAGGTCAACTCAGCTCTCATCAACGCGGGGCGTACGCCATAACCTTCTCCGTCTCCATCTTCCCATTCGTTATCATCTGCTTCCGCTTCATAACTCAGTCCTCGTCAAAGCCCCCATCAAACCCTTCACCGTCTCCATCTCCCCAGTCATTATCTTCCGCTGGTGCTTCTTCTGGGAATGCAACATTACCATCAGTGGGCACAGTAATTTCTATATCATCGGAAGCTTCCTCAGGACGACGGTCTGGCATTGAATCCACTGCCATGGATTTAAGCTTCGCATCACTGAAAAACTCAGTGTAGGGTTTTGACACCTGAGAGGAGCTTGTTAGCAGTTGTTCACACAAACATATAAATATTTATGATCACCAATGGGATTATTTCAAGGTGCAGATCTACATGGGAAAATAACGAATTCAAGATGCGGGACTATACAGGAAGATAACGAAGCATGAGACATTGCAAACCAGCTGTGCAAAAATGCAAGTTAAGGTGGCAATGAAAAAGGAAAAAAATATACACTATGACATCACCGTTCAGCTATTATTCAAAATTTAAGTATAATTCTTTTTTCATGAAACAACAGACAAAAATATATTGAATTGATATCATTGGATTTATTTGAAGTCAATACAAAAGGCAAGATAAAATTGGGACTTCTCAATGGACTCAAAAGTCTTTTTCATGAAGGAAAGAATATGAAATCCTAAGGTCACTTGATCAGGTAATTGCAACTCTACCTTGAAGAGGGCATTTCTCTGCTCAGCACTATCAACAAGATTTCGCCAGTGCTTATCTTTTCTCAATGTTGACGCAGAACCCACCACCTAGTAAAACAATGGAACCAAGCTCGTAAATGATGGGATCAAGCTTGTGAAATTTTATGAAAATGCTTCTGGAAAACATCATATTGAATAAAGCCATACCAGAACAGAAGACCTTGCTCTGGTAATACCGACATTCATTCGTCGAAAATCAGCCACAAACCCAATGCTCCTATCCTTGTTCGCCCTAACACATGAAAAGATTGCAACATCTTTTTCTCGTCCCTGTAAACAAAATCAGAGAGTTGGTTTTACGAGATATATGCAGATCTGTTGGTTAGCAAAATATTACGACAACCTATTGAAAAAGCTGCAACATCTTTGATGGTGCCCACAAAAATCTCTTGAGGTAATATCTAGCCCTAGGACATGATCATAAACTACAATATCATGCAACCAATGTAAACCAAATGATGCAACAATATTTACGGAATAAGGTAAATGTGGCTAATGTACGCGAACACGAAAAAAAAATTTAGGCGTAACAAGTGGATATAACAAAACAAAACAAGAGGTAGAGGAGACATTACCNTCATAAACTACAATATCATGCAACCAATGTAAACCAAATGATGCAACAATATTTACGGAATAAGGTAAATGTGGCTAAAGTACGCGAACACGAAAAAAAATTTTAGGCGTAACAAGTGGATATAACAAAACAAAACAAGAGGTAGAGGAGACATTACCTGGAACCCATCAACAGTGTTGATATCCACTACTTTGTCTGACTCCACGCCAAAAGTATTCCGAAACCTATCACGGAAGAGCTTGACTTGATGTCTATATGGGGATATAATTGCAAGTCGGGAACTTGACTTGAGATCTGGATATCTAGTCACCAATTTCTGATACATGAGGAGGACAAACTCAACCTCATCAACATTTTCCCAAGATCCACTTCCAGAGGGCTGGGACTCTCTTCCCTCATGTATATCAAAAAAGCAAAAAGGTCCAAAGCAGCGGTATTCATGCCACAAACGCTTGGTCTGGTCTAGGATATCAGGCCCATCCTCCAGCGCCTCGTCATAAAATTCCCTTGAAGGAAAGCTTCTTATCTGCATGGTTAATAGGACTAGAACCACTCAGTATACAAATATTCTGAAAAAAAAAAAATAGGGATGATAAATCATATCAGTTGCTGGATGGTTTCACTGTATCAAAAACTGCATTCTGTAACAAACATCATCTTTGAAGTGAAAAGAGCTTGGTGGACCAATCTGTTACATACTACATCATAACTCACAAGTATAAGCTTCAGAAACAGTGTGTTACTCTGATCAACTGTAATCATAAACACTAGTCTTGACAATAATTTCTAGGAAAACTTCAACTGACCTCGGGATGCATGCGATATTGAGTCTTCAGTATCTGTACTGGATAGCCAGACCTCTGGAATCTTTTAAACAAGCTCATTCCATATCTATACACAAGGTCCCAGAGAACACAAAAATTATTAGTCCTAAGCTACAAAGACATGTAATGTATCCTCATCACCAAATAGAATTCTTACCCAAATTTCTCAGCAATAGGAGAAATTACGGTGGCTGGCAATTGTACTGGATCACCAACCTCAAGAAGAAAAAGAAAAAGAAGTAGCTACTTAAGAAAAAGGAGGAAAAAATAACCTGAAAAGCATTTAAGTATAAATGGTTCCTCAACAGAAAATTGGAAGGAGGAAGGGACAAGAGATGTTAGCATGGCATGGATCTTGATGAGGATAGAGTGACGTCCACAAAAGCAGAAGTAAGTTCCATATGTACTCATGCTTTCTAGAAGCATCAATGTTTGACCAAATAGACATCCACAGACTTGTATTGGCTCTCTAAAATAGTGAAACAGTTCAAAAATAGGTTACATATATCCACAAGTTGTTTTTTTTTTGATCAAAGATATATCCACAAGTTCAAACATGGCATCAATATGTTCTGTAATTTCTGCTTATTCACAGTACCCTAGTCTGTCCTGAAACTGAAACATTCCCTCATTGAATAATAGTCTGAGACTTAATGTGTAAATAATTAGTGGACTATTACAGAGTTAACATATGGGATTTAACCATATCTCTGAACAACTAGGAAAGTAAGTACCATATGGCAGAAAAAAAAAATTCTCAGATCTAGGAAGATATCCTGTAGCAAAACTAAGATAGGATACATACCAGAAATACTTGTTTACATCCATTGNTATTTAACCATATCTCTGAACAACTAGGAAAGTAAGTACCATATGGCAGAAAAAAAAAATTCTCAGATCTAGGAAGAAATCCTGTAGCAAAACTAAGATAGGATACATACCAGAAATACTTGTTTACATCCATTGGCCAAGGGAACAAGTGTTGATGGTTCCACCTGTAAACAAAAAATAAGGAACATTATAATTACAAGCAAAGCTGATTCACGTGACAAAGAACTACATTCCAACAGTGACATTAAGACCATTGCTGCTGCCTAATGACATCCACCTATACTTCATCAAAAACATTGTATATACTGAGGTGCCTTCCTGCTTAATTTACAGACAATTGTGCCACTCCTTAACATGTCAATAATAGCTGAAGAAGTAATCATGGTGGCATACTACAGAAACACGTATTAAGATTGAAACTATATTAAAAGTCATAAAGGTAAAGAAACCTACAGCTTGAGCAGCTTCATCTATGACAACAATGTCAAATCCGCGATTTAATTTACTAAAAAGAACTGAACCGCTGAAGCTGAGGGTGGAGAAGACCTGTCAACCAGTAAAAGTTACTACAGTGACATTTATTTTCAATTTTCCAACACAAGGCCAAAATTTCATACAATTGCTGCTTCATCCAAAATTGAGGCACGAATACTGTCTTTATCCCTTCCTGCACCTCCTTGTTTTTGTTTATCACCAGTTTGGAAGTCCATACCTGCAAGTTTTTGTTCAACCTACATAGGTATGCTGTCCATGTCATCTTGTTTGGTCACAATCCAATAAAGTCAATGATAACAATAATTACATGACTATCAGAAATGTCTTGATGATTGCCAGGTACATACAAGGTAATCCATGGAAACTGCCTGGACAGAATGATGAGGTTTAAGACCGATTCGCACAATTTTAGGATTGTATGCACGGTCATTTTCATCACGAATACCTACAATAACCAGAAAGCAGTATTGATTATCCATGATGGAAGCTTTTTATTAGCAGGTATAAAAATACTAGTTTTATGTGTCTGAGTGCCAGGGTCCGATTCTCAACATGTCAAAAATTTAAAACTCCCAAAACATAAAGTGAAATAAATAATTAGCTCAAGCATGTCCAAGAGAAAAGTTAGGCCAAAAGCTTCCATATAAAATTATAATCACCAAAGTCTAATGGTTGATCAAATGCCTCAATCACATATATGAGAGCCAAACTAGACTTGAGAATGCTTGGGAGTATCTTAAACTAACCCATTGTCCCATAAAACAACAGAAAGTAAACATCTTTTTATTTCAAGGGACGAACTTGATGAGTGTTTACTTTATGAATGCATACCAGTTGGTCATTGCAGGAAAACATATAAACTAAAATTAAAGCTTTTGGAAAGTGAACAGAGAAGACTCAAAGGAAGGAGGAACCCGAAAAATCCCAGCCCTGGAGCTCTCAATGCTTCGTGCACTCTGTTACAAACCTAAAGGTTGAGGACTTTATGTCGGGTTCTCAAGCCTTCTAGGTCTAGCCATAGATTATAAATAGTGCTTTCTTACATCTTCTGATTTCAATGGCAATGTTACTGTCTAGTGCATCAATTGAATCACAGCTCAATGATATCTTCTGTTTTAGGAGTTTCCTTCCCCCAAACCATAAAATCACCTTGGTACGCCAAATAAAACATATACTATCAATAGCAAGACACCCGAAGCCACTTCAAGTGTGACTGCAGGTACACAGCATTGGGCAACTTGGAATAGAACCCAGCAGTACGAATTTGAAAATGAGAATGTTAAGGTGGATATGTGGAAAAACTAGAAATGATAGAATACGAAATGACCGTATTAGAGAAATGGTAGGAGTAATTCCAATTGAAGCTAAGTTGAGAGAGAATAGATTAAGGTAGTTCGGTCATGTACAACATAGGCAGATAGAGCAAGTGGTTAGAAAAAGTGATAGAATTTTTCTTAATGGTATTAGGAGTAGGAGTAGATCTAAATTAACATTTGGACGAAATAATAAGAAAAGATATGAAAATGTTTAACATATATGAGCATATAACACATGACCGAAATGAATAGCGAAGACGGACTCATATAGCCGACCCCAAATAATTGGGACATAAGCTTGATTTGTTTGGTTGGTTGATAGCTAAAAAGCACGGACACGGATACGAGACAGATATGAAACGACCCGGACACACCAACACGAAATTTTTTTAAAAAGTAGGACACAGCACTGACATGTAAGTGATACGTTAAATAATATGTATTTTATATATATATATATATAAATCATGTGATAAAATAAAAATATTATCATAATATTCTTTTAATTCATCATTTCTCTAATTCTAAAAATTCACATCATGATATTACTGCATAAAAAGTACAATATAAGATATATTGATACACATTCAACATTAACATTCATGATTCAATAATCAATGATTTCTACAACTTTTACTTTCAAAAATATTTCATTTTGTAATACTAATTTTCATCAAATTTCAAGACCTCAAATTTTGTAATCCCATTTTTTCTCACATTCCGTTCATATTAAAAAACTATTTCATTTGTATATTAGTTTGTATTCGTATCCAAAATTATGTTAAATTCATGTCCTGCGTTCAATGTAATCTGAAAAATTCTTAAAAAATTGAAAATAAATCCCAAAACGTGTCCCCAGCGTGTCCTGAACGTGTCGACTGCGTGTCCCCAATGTGTCCAAAACGTGTCCTAAAAAAAATTTAACAATAAAAAAATCAAACACTCATTTTAACGTGTCCGATACGTATCCCAACGTGTCCATGTCCCAGACATGTTCGACACCGACACTTTGCCCAAAATGAAGTGTTCGTGCTTCCTAGGTTGGTAGTACAAATTTGAAAAGAAAAAATTTAAATTAAGTACCAATTTTGCTCCAACTCCAAGTAAAACCTAAAAACCTTGAAAGATATACTTGGTGCTTTGGTCCTAATCAGGTACTAAAAACAGACAAGAATTTTTGAATATTAGCTGGCAAACATGCATAAGACNCTAGAAATGATAGAATACGAAATGACCGTATTAGAGAAATGGTAGGAGTAATTCCAATTGAAGCTAAGTTGAGAGAGAATAGATTAAGGTAGTTCGGTCATGTACAACATAGGCAGATAGAGCAAGTGGTTAGAAAAAGTGATAGAATTTTTCTTAATGGTATTAGGAGTAGGAGTAGATCTAAATTAACATTTGGACGAAATAATAAGAAAAGATATGAAAATGTTTAACATATATGAGCATATAACACATGACCGAAATGAATAGCGAAGACGGACTCATATAGCCGACCCCAAATAATTGGGACATAAGCTTGATTTGTTTGGTTGGTTGATAGCTAAAAAGCACGGACACGGATACGAGACAGATATGAAACGACCCGGACACACCAACACGAAATTTTTTTAAAAAGTAGGACACAGCACTGACATGTAAGTGATACGTTAAATAATATGTATTTTATATATATATATATATAAATCATGTGATAAAATAAAAATATTATCATAATATTCTTTTAATTCATCATTTCTCTAATTCTAAAAATTCACATCATGATATTACTGCATAAAAAGTACAATATAAGATATATTGATACACATTCAACATTAACATTCATGATTCAATAATCAATGATTTCTACAACTTTTACTTTCAAAAATATTTCATTTTGTAATACTAATTTTCATCAAATTTCAAGACCTCAAATTTTGTAATCCCATTTTTTCTCACATTCCGTTCATATTAAAAAACTATTTCATTTGTATATTAGTTTGTATTCGTATCCAAAATTATGTTAAATTCATGTCCTGCGTTCAATGTAATCTGAAAAATTCTTAAAAAATTGAAAATAAATCCCAAAACGTGTCCCCAGCGTGTCCTGAACGTGTCGACTGCGTGTCCCCAATGTGTCCAAAACGTGTCCTAAAAAAAATTTAACAATAAAAAAATCAAACACTCATTTTAACGTGTCCGATACGTATCCCAACGTGTCCATGTCCCAGACATGTTCGACACCGACACTTTGCCCAAAATGAAGTGTTCGTGCTTCCTAGGTTGGTAGTACAAATTTGAAAAGAAAAAATTTAAATTAAGTACCAATTTTGCTCCAACTCCAAGTAAAACCTAAAAACCTTGAAAGATATACTTGGTGCTTTGGTCCTAATCAGGTACTAAAAACAGACAAGAATTTTTGAATATTAGCTGGCAAACATGCATAAGACCTTTTGCAATTCTAACAAGTGGTGCATACTTTAAGTCTGCAGATGAATCCATCCTCACATGAGCATGACCAAGATGATTAGACACACCTGATGTTCATCATCATACAGCCTAAAATACATGGATTTGGCCCAAATTGATACAACAATAAAGTCTTCTCTCATAGTGCACAAAAGTTTGTTAGTCAACTTTGATAGCATGTAATCTGTGTGCATATACCTTCAACCAGAACTGGTAAATGATTTCCCCAGAGGCTCCGTCATATTAATAAAGAAGATGTAATGATATTGTCTAGGTTTTACGATATATTGGATGGTTCCAATATTGAGTCGTTTATAATCAACTGTACACTCATATCTTTCAAGGTTCCACTCACAGCCNGAAGCACGGACACGGATACGAGATAGATACGAAACGACCCGGACACACCAACACGAATTTTTTTTAAAAAGTAGGACACAACACTGACATGTAAGTGATACGTTAAATAATATGTATTTTATATATATATATATATAAATCATGTGATAAAATAAAAATATTATCATAATATTCTTTTAATTCATCATTTCTCTAATTCTAAAAATTCACATCATGATATTACTGCATAAAAAGTACAATATAAGATATATTGATACACATTCAACATTAACATTCATGATTCAATAATCAATGATTTCTACAACTTTTACTTTCAAAAATATTTCATTTTGTAATACTAATTTTCATCAAATTTCAAGACCTCAAATTTTGTAATCCCATTTTTTCTCACATTCCGTTCATATTAAAAAACTATTTCATTTGTATATTAGTTTGTATTCGTATCCAAAATTATGTTAAATTCATGTCCTGCGTTCAATGTAATCTGAAAAATTCTTAAAAAATTGAAAATAAATCCCAAAACGTGTCCCCAGCGTGTCCTGAACGTGTCGACTGCGTGTCCCCAATGTGTCCAAAACGTGTCCTAAAAAAAATTTAACAATAAAAAAATCAAACACTCATTTTAACGTGTCCGATACGTATCCCAACGTGTCCATGTCCCAGACATGTTCGACACCGACACTTTGCCCAAAATGAAGTGTTCGTGCTTCCTAGGTTGGTAGTACAAATTTGAAAAGAAAAAATTTAAATTAAGTACCAATTTTGCTCCAACTCCAAGTAAAACCTAAAAACCTTGAAAGATATACTTGGTGCTTTGGTCCTAATCAGGTACTAAAAACAGACAAGAATTTTTGAATATTAGCTGGCAAACATGCATAAGACNCTCAGAAACAAAAAGTACAAAACCAAGCCATAAAAATTGGGTCAAAAGAATATCAAGTAGATGCTTCAGTCAGTACAAACGTTAGATTTTGCACATCATCGCCTAAATTAGCTTTCATTGATATTCATATATGAAAAGCACTTCAAGAAAAGGATAACACTTACAATGCATAGGTTGCTAGTGCATTTTAAAGCAAGTTTTTTCAAAGGATGATGCAACAAAGAAATCCCCATCACAAAATACATCCTAAAATAGTAGAACTCACATTTATTCTATTAGGCAAGTCTCCAGCTTAGGTTATCGATGTTACCAAGTGTCACCCGTAAAACAACTTGTCCATTTGGATGTTAACCCTTCTTCATTAAGTTGGGGCTGCTTTAGACTAATGGTTGACTTTTTCCTTGTATTCCTTGCATGTTCCTACTTCAACAATTCAACGCTCAACCCTAACTCTATTGCTCCTTGCCTATTCAGCATAACTGGATAATGTGGCTGTGAGGGCTATAGACAAGCGAGGTTCAAAGTAGCAGCCAATATTGATACAAGTTGACCAAGTCGTATCCGACTCAACATCTTCTGAGTCGATACCATTCCACATCATTTATAAACCCCAAATCTCGCCGGAATCGGCCGTGTCATCTTCGAGTCAATCCCGAGTCGCCGTGTTATTGTCTCTGAATCAAATGATACGGTTCTACGTTCAACTTCTTCTTTTAGGTCGTATCGTCTGATAACACGCCGTGATACCACAACCAATGTGTCTCAGAACCCTTCAAGTCGATGACCAATACTGCGACCTTAAGCCATATAGACAAGTCAATTGTGTACGAGGAGGAAGAAAAAAGAGATTCCTTGATTCACATCAGGTGATGTTCTACTATAATTAAATTTCTTGGCATTTTTAACCTCCAATCTCAATATTTACCATGATTCTTGTCAGTATTAAGAATGACCTGCCACCTTCCTACTGCCCTAGGAATTTATATTCAGGTATTAAGCATTCAACTTGGAAGCTTATTTATTTGAGTCCACGTCTTCCATGTTGTATTACTATCTTCCAGCATTTATGAATTATCTCAACCTAGGTGCGAATTAGCAAGGAGCCCAATGAGAGTTAAGGAATAGGGATAGACTGAAATTAATTCTANAATGCAACGTCCAGGTACGAATTTAAGGTCGGTCAAAGTCAGAAAGCTCTATTTAGTTAAACTAGTGTCCCAACTTGAGAGAGGTAACAAATACTAAGGATTATCATGTCGCGAAGGATAGAACAATACACCAAATAATTGCAATAATACTTTGTTGAGTTGAGTGGAGGTGGGAATTGACAAGAATCAATATGAGGAAAAAGAACATATAACAGAGGGGGGAAAAGAAAGAGCGATATATGATGTCACAGTCTGAACTAGTCACATCTATAACCAGATCAGAGATGGTGACTGGGTCTACAATAAGAAGTGATGGATTTGGGGAGAAGCATAAAATTGAAAGGCCGGAAAGAAAAAAGAAATAAAATATCAATAGCAAAGTGGCACACTTCTTTTAAAACAGAAGAATTTTATTATAGATAAGAATCAAGAATAGAGTTACAATGTTGATGACAAGACATCCTCAAACAAAAGCAAGACAAAGTACAATTCAAGAATAGAAAGATAGTGCAAAAAACTAAATGAGAGCCACCTTCCAATTTTGATGAAGATCCAACTGAAGCAACTCTCCGAAAAATCTGCTGGCTTTGGTTCAAAAAGAGGCCAGGAACACAATTTTATCCACTAACACATCTAATGAAAGGCAAAGACCATTGAAAAGTCTTGCATTCCACTCTAATCAAATCATCAAAGAATTGACATTGGTGCACAATTCAGGACCTTAGCTTCTTTGTCTTCCCAAAACCCTAGAACTCCATCTACAATAACTTCCCTACTGTAGTAGCAAATTGGCATACTTATTCAAATCAAACAAAAAGACTAGACAAATAAACTAAAAAGTGGAAAAAATAGCTAGCAAAAGAAATTTGGATAAGTTATAAACATCCAACTTAGAATAGCTTCTTGATTGAGGAGGCACCTACATTGAATTCCAGAATGGGAACAAAAGACTTATTGGGTCAATATTCCTTATAGGAAGCAATAGATCAAACTTCAATGTGAACAATTAGAATTGTAGTGAAGGGTTGATATGACATTTGAAGTTGTAAAATTGCAGATAGACATTAATCTTTTATGCAGAATAATCTATAGAAATTTAAATAATTCAGGGTGGAAAATGCAGTTGAATTGTTACCCCCCACCCTTCCTTTCTTTCTTCAAAAAAAACATTAACCTGATGCAAATGTTGGGAATTTACATTGGAAATATATCTTTTCTTTTCAAAACAAAATTTTGTCCAACTAAACCGTAGTACTGCCAGGGGGAGAGAGAGAAAGAGAAAGAGTGTGTGTGTGTGTGTGTTTTCTGCCATTGTTTAACTTTGTATGTGGAACAAAAAGATTTTAGTAGATGAGATACCCGAATGCTCCCTATTCTTCTTGATCTCATCTTCTTATTCTAAGTTACCATTCATAATTAGTGAATACTCTTCACCACCGTNTATGTGGAACAAAAAGATTTTAGTAGATGAGATACCCGAATGCTCCCTATTCTTCTTGCTCTCATCTTCTTATTCTAAGTTACCATTCATAATTAGTGAATACTCTTCACCACCGTAGAACAGCCATCCATTCACCCTCAAATCCTAATGTAACAAGTGCCCATCAACCCCAACCCACTCCTTATTTAACTTGAAAAACTTTGTAGTAGCAACCTTTCATGAACTTTGTAGTAGCAACCTTTCACGATTTCTGGCACACCTTTTCCTGGGTTTCATGCAACCTAGCACTGATGAAATTAAGCAATTACTAGCCTCTGCTCATACATGATCTCTACAACCTTCCTTCGACCAAGTAAAATCCCAACTTTAGAAACCTTCCATAACCAAGCCCTNTGAACTTTGTAGTAGCAACCTTTCACGATTTCTGGCACACCGTTTCCTGGGTTTCATGCAACCTAGCACTGATGAAATTAAGCAATTACTAGCCTCTGCTCATACATGATCTCTAGAACCTTCCTTCGACCAAGTAAAATCCCAACTTTAGAAACCTTCCATAACCAAGCCCTCGTTAAATCAACAAGATGTTGCATTATTCCAAAGTCCAAACCCCACTTACAACCAAACCTAGAAACAATTGCAATACAGAATATATAAGGAAAAAGAGAAAAAGCATGAATGAAAGGAGTTCCTACACAACAGAAGCAGCCATTTAGGTCATCCTCAATGAAGAGAAAAGAATCCAAAGCAATATTGATAAAGAAAAAGAAAAGCACCAAAACATACTTTTCATGAATGGGTAATTCTGGCTCACGTTTTATTCCACACATTTTCCCCCTGCATAAAGAAGGAAATTGAATTAATCTATTAAAGAAGTGAATGAATACAATATTTCTATTCATAGTTATTTGTTTGCCCCAACAACACCTCAGCAAACACAAACAACCAGAGAATTCTATGAAAACCAGTTGATGATTTAACAAGACAGACAAAATGAGATACTTACTTGTCAGAGTGTACTCTTGCAGGAGTTGCATGCAGAATGGCACTAAGGAGCCCAAGGATAGTTTGCGTTTTTCCTGTTCCTGGGGGGCCCTAGAGGCAAGCATGCTGTTAGGTTCCACATGCTCAAATAAAGGTAACAAATTGATACCACATATGCTCACGTAATAACACATCATACTCAAAAACCAAATATTCATTTCAAGAGTATCCCAGGATGTGTTAGGCTTATCTCCTATGCCTACAGTGACTAGAACATTTAACATGTGCTGTCGACAAAATATATCACTAAACCACATAAGTAGCAACACATGTAGAACTTTCAGAATGTGATATAAGATTTTTGGTAATTATTAGACAGAATGAGCAATATTTGTTTGCTTGAGAAATGAGAAATATAATAATTGGATACCGCAACTAAAATTTATAATGATATGTAACAAACATTTAGTTGCTTAAAGGCAAATGTCAAACCTGTATCAGGACAAAGGTTTTACGAGAAAGGCCCGCCTGCAATAAACAAGATTATTGAATTGAGTAAATGTATGCTAGGGAAATACAAAAAAGTGATAGAGAATGCATGTGAGAGAAATGGTAGGAGGATAAAGAAGAGGGTGGGTGAAATATTAAGAATTACATCAACCTGATATGTGCCATAAAATCTGTGGTAACCCACAGTTAACAACAACTGCATTCTGGCCACGGGCTAGAAAGGGTAGGAGAAGAAAAAGGAGGGTGGATGAGGTATTAAAAACTACATTAACCTGAATATGTGTCATAAAATATGTGGTACCATACGACTAATAAAAACGAATTCTACCCACAGGCAGCTAAACTGGATTGAGAATAGGTGGAACAGGATAACATAATCTGATTACAAACTCACATGTATTGCCTCCAGTTGAGATGGATTGTGATTGCCTCTTATAAACTCCATTAGGGGTTTAGATATTTTCCAGGCACGATCTTCAGTGCTATAGTTGCTTTCAGCAGCTGTTAATATCAAATCTCTAAAAGGGAGGGAACTAACTGACCGCAGAGCAACGTATTCACGCGCAATACTTGATAGGCTGCAAATCTGCAAATTATATGGCATCATTGGACACTGATCTAGATTTAAAATACCAAATTTATTCGCAAGACCATCCTGTGATTGTGTTTGGGGGTAATGCAAGTGCAGTCGATTTATTGCGTAAAACTGGTAAAATAAATAGAAAAAAATGATCATAACCATGTGATAGTGACAGCAAGGAGGAGGAAGATGAAGCAAGGAGAAAAATAGCAATAAAGAAGGTTGCCGCTGTTGCTCGACATTTGATGTGCATGAATGGAATAAAAAACAAACTGAATGACCATATGAAATGAAAATGGCATTCCCTATCATTTAGTGGATAGGCAACAAAAAGGAATTCACTGAGAACAGTTAGCATCTGCACTCTAACATACCACCACTAGAGGCTATTACTCTGTGTGGTCCCGCTTACCGAGAGGTTAGCTGGATTCAGACATAATATTTGGTATATTTGTACCAAGTGGCTACTTTAAGAGTCTAATAAGTGCTCATGCTTGAGAGGCCGAGCCTATCACCATTCATCTATCTTACGGAAGTTTACCGAATACAAAATATAGGTCCCAAATTACTTTTTCAATCCTGTTCAACATAAAAGCATCAATTTTTGTATACCCTTCTCGCATAGTTCTTATTTCCAACAGAAATTCCAGCTAAACTGAGCAAGGGCATGTTTTTGCCACTAATGCTGTAGCGATGTAAATAACACCATACACCGTACACCTTCTGCCCAGTAAAATAACATCTTTTTTTGAGCTAAAGTATAATAACATATAAATTAAATCGTTTGGGAACAGAAATCATTCTACGATAGAAGGATACCTTCAGAATGTGCAAGGGTTTATTGACTTGACCAACAACAGAACACATATTCAACAGCCTCGGGCATGTTTCGACCTGAGTTGTATTTAATTGGTTGACCTCTCCACTTAAATTCATTCTAAGTCTGATTTTGTCTCCTTGACGATGCTCAACCAATGCAAACGCATATGTAGTTGGAAGTTCTTTGGCCTCTCCAAACTGCAAAAAGAAACCCACCATACACGTAAAATAAAAGAGATTTCTGAGCAAATAAAGGTAGTTAATTAAACAAACATATTTAGGAGATTAGGCGATGTGCAAATAAAGTTAATAAACAGGCTTTATTATCTGTTTGCTAGAATATCAACAAACACACAGAAAGAAAAACACAATTCTAAAAGCACCGAACAGAAGCACCATTCTGAAAGCACAAAATAGACAATATCTGAACACAATCAACTGACTAACTACCTTCTTTGTTGAAATCAATAGCAGATCATTCTGCGATATTGATGCCCCGTGATCACAAAAGACCATAGCTAAGTGAAAACAATCATCTTCGGAGCATTCTAATACAATACAGGTGGTCCATTCTGTTTCTGCTATGACCAAAAAAGACATACAAAACACATGAGAAAAGAGAGAATGACAGCCTTCTCTGTTTAATTCAGACCTTCCAATTACACAAACCGAAAAGTGACCAAATTTCCTATTACTCCAAAAACAAAAACTTTACACTATTCCAGTCATAGAAAATGAGTGACTAAAGCTGTTTTAAAGTGCCAATACATCAGCCATTGAATAATTCTTTCCAGGACGCCTATAAATCCAAGAGATAATGAAAAATCGAGCAAAATCGATTAATGGGCATGCTCTAAAGCTGGAAAAATCATAAATACTAAAACGAATGAACAAAATAAACGAAAATAAAAATAAAAATTCAATACCCTCTTCCTCGTCTCTTCCTTGAAGTATCTGAGCCTTAACTTCTTCAAAAAGTAGTGGCTCAAAGGTTGCAGTATAGTCATCAACATCTTTGTATGTATTTTTTACTTGAGTCAGACCCAGAACACTTCCATCCCCAATCTTCTTCTTATTTTTCTGCTCCAAAATAAAAATCACACGAATCACAGCATCAATTAAAATGGCTGAATATACATATTTAGAGAGAGAGAGAGAGAGAGAAGTCGAAAGAAGTAAATACGCCAGATTCATTGAGAAGGCGAAGATAGTCCCAGCTGAGAACTATTTTGTAGAAGCGATGAATACTCGCTTCATCTTCTAGCTTATTCTTGTCTACGGCCATCTCACCTCCCCCTCGCACAGAGAGAGAGTCTTGGTTTTGGGAATACACACAAGAGGGGTTCTCAGAAGGGGTTTTTGGGCGGGGAATAGGGTTTATATAGTTTTGGCCAAACCGGCGGTGTCTCTGTTGGGCAGAACTGAAGTCTAGTCTGGTATTTGATATTTGATTTCTTCTTTAACTGGATTATTATTTTAGGAATTTTGCAAAAAAAAAAAAAAGTGGAATAATTCACTATTAGTATAATTGCAAAAAATTAAAAAAAAATTAGGGAAATTTTCAATATTTTTTTCTATTCCAAGATAACAATTGTGGAACTCAATTATGACAAATAAGATTGTGGCACGTACAAGAATCACATGATAGGCTGAGTACGAGTGTACGGGATTAACTTGAACTCAACTCAAATTCATTATGAATTTTTTAATAGTTAGATTTGATGTTTTTAATATTTACATTGGATTTGAACCAAAAAATCTCAATTCAAATTTAATTCGGGCTCTACTTGAGTTGNAAGTATGAGTGTACGGGACTAACTTGAACTCAACTCAAATTCATTATGAATTTTTTAATAGTTAGATTTGATGTTTTTAATATTTAAATTGGATTTGAACCAAAAAATCTCAATTCAAATTTAATTCGGGCTCTACTTGAGTTGGAATTCAAATTGACAAATTTAACTCGAATTTAAAAAATTAAGGTAAACTCAAATTTAACCCAAATTTTTTAAAAAAACTATATATATATATATAAGAGATTTTAAAGTATTTGTGTTGCACCCTCAATAATTGTTATTAATGTTTGAATCCTATTTTGCAGATGTGAGATTTATTCTTTTTGTTGCTAATTAGCTTTGATAATGAAAAAATATATAATTTTTAGCTTCAATTTTAGGACTAAACACAAAACTAAACCTATTTTTGTTCAATTTGGATTTGATTAATTAAAAAACCGATATCAACTCAAGTTTAACTTGAATTGCAACTCAAATTATATAACTTGAGCTAAACTCAAATTCAAAAACTTAATCACTAGTTGGGCTCGGGTTAAAATTGCTAAAGTTGAGTTTGGTNCAAAAACTTAATCATTAGTTGGGCTCGGGTTAAAATTGCTAAAGTTGAGTTTGGTTTAGAGGTTTTCATATANATATAACTTGAGCTAAACTCAAATTCAAAAACTTAATCACTAGTTGGGCTCGGGTTAAAATTGCTAAAGTTGAGTTTGGTTTAGAGGTTTTCATATATTAAGTTGAACTTGAACCGATATAACCCATCGACCCACCCAATTTCTTCTAGTTGCGCCCTTAAAACTAACTAACTAGTGTGTCCTACGTGCAATACACAAAATTTAATTTTTTTGTGAATTTTTTTTTCTGCACTTATCTAATTAAAACATAAATATATAATCACCCCAAATTTTATGGAAGTTGTGAACATTAAAAGATAATAGATAGTGAAAATTTATCAAAGCTGTGAATACTTGGATGTGTGCTTATTGGTACTATGTATAAGATTTGGATTGGGAGAAATCTATTATTTGGTTTAATTAAATCAATTACATTTACCATTTGGAACTTTTTTTATCATAAAAATTTTGTCTTTTGTTTAATAAAAATAAAATTCAAGAAAATAAAGAATTTGAACGAATGCGTCTCAAACTTTCTCCCAACTAATTTGTTTATTATAATAATAAATAAAAAAATAAAAAAAAAGATATCTTTCCCATTTTGAATTCCAACTCGTGGAATTAAGGATGCACGNTGTGCTTATTGGTACTATGTATAAGATTTGGATTGGGGGAAATCTATTATTTGGTTTAATTAAATCAATTACATTTACCATTTGGAACTTATTTTATCATAAAAATTTTGTCTTTTGTTTAATAAAAATAATATTCAAGAAAATAAAGAATTTGAACGAATGCGTCTCAAACTTTCTCTCAACTAATTTGTTTATTATAATAATATATAAAAAAAAAAAAAAAAGATATCTTTCCCATTTTGAATTCCAACTCGTGGAATTAAGGATGCACGGAGAGGGGACATGTTTGGTCCATGGGTTTAGGTGGGATTTATAGAATAGATTTTATCAAAATTGTCCAATGCGTCACCTTATTCCTTATTTGATTTTAATTTCGAGTCTGGAATTTGAATTCTGCCCCCTAATAGGTCCGTAAGTAAAAATCATGTACAATGGTTTCGACAAACCAAAGGGGTGGGTGGGGTTTATATAATTTCATAGCAAATATTACAATTAATCCATTCATTTTTCACGAGTATTTGTATCACTTCTCGGATATGAGATTGAATATGGTACATTATTCAATCCCATTAACAAAATCTATAAATTGAATTTCGAAGGGTTTCATATATCCAATTCAATTTCTATCTTAAAAATCATCCAAGCAGCTTTTTTTTTTGGGGAGGGGGGGTATTATCTGTAAATCTCTTTATTTCAATTTATTGATGTCACCAACTTGTTAAGTCCACATAAACCAATTAATGACAGAATTAGTCCCTATATGCTTCATATAAAAAGTTCTTTAGATTTAAACAATCACCTTTTATGTCTAATTGTGAATACAATATATTTACTAGCAATAATGTCCGAAGTCATTATATAACACAAAAAAAATATTAATTGTATAATATTTATATTTTAAATAATAATATATATTTTTTAATTATGTTATTTATAGTTAAAGTGAATACGAAAACCAATAAGAGAGATAGAGGAGGCTAAAAATAGAGATAGGTCTGGATTAGTAGGATTATCTGTCGTTGAAGAGTACTGGTCATAACCTGTACTTATAGGTACGATAAAATATAAAATTCAACCGTTAAAAAAATTGATCCCACTATAATAAATTTTTTCAACGCGTATATACTAATGTATATGAATAATGTTTGAAATACAAATTATATTAATTATAAATTAATCAAATATTAAATGACTAAACACACGATAGAAATAAGCGATGTGATGTATTTAGAGAAAAAATATATAAATGATTAAACATATGATAAAAATGAATGATGTGATATTTTTAGGAGGGAAATATGTAAGAGATAAAAATTCAAGTTGTTATGTATTTTATTAACTACAAATTAATCAAATATTAAATAATTAAATATATAATAGAAATAAGCGATGTGATGTATTCAGAGGAGAAATATATAAATAATTAAACATGTGATAGAAATTAATGATGTGATGTTTTTAGAGGAAAAATATATAAGGAATAAAAATTTAAATTGTTATGTATTTTATTATATAGATATTATATAGATGTTGGTTGAGTTGATATTTTTGAGTTGAGAAAAAAATTAAGAATAAATTTTTGTATCATTAGATCAAAATAAATAAAAATTGAATCAATCTTGACCGTTGTTGTACTTTTATAAGTTGATAATTCAACTTTTTGTCGTAATATTAAATCGAATAGCAATAACCCTGTGTATGAAGCCACTAATATTTTTATTTTAAATAATATTTTAATTACACAATTTAAAATTAAAATAAAGAAAGAGGAGAGTGTGGATTGACGTTGACATTGGGGGTTGTAAAGGGAAGTTGATGTTTTTGGATCGATAACAAAATTTTAGGATGAATTTTGTATAATTGAATCAAAGTAGATAAAGATTTGATTAATATTAACCATTATAAGTTGAAAATTCAATTTTTTGACGGTAATCTCATATTAGTATCACATGTAATAATTAGCTTTAGGCTTTATCCCTCATTAAATTACTGGAAAACGAGTTGATAAAAAAGAATAATATAACATTGATTAAAAAAAAAAAATGATCAAATGATATAGCATTGTAATAATGATACTTTTATTTACACTTCTGTTTATTTAAAATTCAAGTTTTGCTTCCTATATTAGTTGCCACATCAATTTTATCATATTTTGTAATTAGCATAACATTACCCCCATAAAAAAAAATTAGGTCTATCAATAATTCGTTTGCGTCAGGTCTTAGTGAGTTCGTATAAAAAAATTTTCNATTAGGTCTATCAATAATTCGTTTGCGTCAGGTCTTAGTGAGTTCGTATAAAAAAATTTTCCCTCATATTTGATTTGTTTATTAACTAGAGGTAATATGTGGCTAAAAATATGGTATAACGTATGTGAGAAGTAATAGATTTACGAAGAAAAAAAATTAAATGTGAATAGTTTTGAGAGAGATGTTGATGACCGTTGGACGTGTCTATTTAAGACCGTCGAATAAACTTATTGAAATCTGCTCTATTTTATATTATAGATATAAATTCGTGTTTAATGAATCGTGTCATATTGTTGTGTATAAATCGTATATAACTGATATATAAACGAGTCGTATTATATATTCATTAAAATTTATTACAATTATACTCAATTTATTTATTAATTATGTTATAACGGATTCACTAGTTTTATAAATTTGACTTAAAAGTTGTCCATGTTATTTTTTTAAAATACAATATCATTAATAAATATTTAAAGTAATGTTATGATAATAATTAAATGGAATTTTAATTGGGTAAAATTTAACACAATACCGAAATAACAATATTCAAATTAGATTGCTGTCCTTTTTCTCAACCTACTCTCTCCCACTGACCCCAACCTCGTTACTGCCGCCCCCTCTTTCACCCTTTCTCTTTGTAGTTCCCAACTGTCATCAACCTTGTTACTCTCGCCCTCTGACACGGTCACACCCTTCTTATGTCCAACTGGCGCTGTTAGGTCCAACTCTTGAAGACCATCTCTCTTCTCTTCCGTTTCTCTCAGCTCCATCTCTCTCATCTGTTTCTGTATCTGTATCTGTATCTCTCTACAATGGCTTCCGCAGCTCTCTCCCAATCCCTATTCTCCACTCTCAATTCTCACCGAACCCCCGAGAATGTCTCTCTGTCTTTGCACCGGTCAAAAACTCCGGCATTCATTCGACAGCCACTCGGTCCCTCTAGATCTCGTCTGTTATCTGCACAATCGAAGAAGACCCAGAACAATTTCATCGCCAACTGCACTCCCACTGGGAATGAAAGCACAACCCAAGAGACCCCCATCGAATTGAGTATGCATTTTGCTCCCTTTACCATCTCTCTTTCTCCCACTCTCTCCCTCTCTGTGATTTTTAATTTGTTGTTACAGGGTACCCAGCATTTCCGGCAGTGATGGATATCAATCAGATTCGAGAAATTTTGCCCCACCGGTTTGTGAATTTGATTCAACATCTTCGTTCTTTCTGGGTATTGTTAATTGTTAATTGTTAATGATGATGTGATTTGAATTTGTGGTTTGTAGCTTCCCATTTCTGTTAGTGGATAGAGTGATTGAATACACTCCAGGCGTTTCAGCAGTCGCCATTAAGAATGTGACCATAAACGATAATTTCTTCCCTGGGCATTTTCCAGAGAGGCCCATTATGCCTGGTGTTCTTATGGTTGAGGTAGGCTGATCATTTATTCTTTCCTGCGTAGGATATTTTTTGGGTCTTCTTGCATGTGAATTGGATGAATTAAGTACCAATGACACTATTTCAACTGGTTGTACTTTAAGGATGTGTTAGTGGGTGGTGAAGAAGTCTTTCTTTAGCATCCATCACCAAATTCACTCCTTTTGTGAAACTTAAAAAAGGTCCATCCCCCAAAACATGTATAAAGAAAAAAAAATTGATTTTTATGTATAGCAAGTATCAAAATTTTGTTTGGTGAATAGGTTCAATCAACTTGGAAATAGAAATGTGTTGAAAATCTCTAGAAAACAAAATATAAATGGAGAAATAATGTGGAATTCTGATTTTGACACATTGGCTGAAACCTACCGAGATGTTACTATTACCTCGCAAAGCAATCTAAAACATTCCGAAAAATTGAGAATTTTATTTTTCAGCCACTGTTTCATTTCAGTTTTTAGCGAAACATAAAATGTTGTGATTGAAACTAAACGCAACTTTGATTGCTATAATCAGTGGTAAAAAATAGTGGTGTAAAATATTATTTTCTTGCAATATAATTTACTTCATGGGGATAGCAAACTTCTAGAAATATGATTTAGTCAACTTCCATATACTCCCATCTCTAATTCTTAAATGATTGTCCGCTGGAAGGTCATGGATGTTTTATATAATGTCCCTTGTTGATTATATCAGTTACAAAGTTATCCACCCAATGGGCAGAGTGGATACATTTAATTAGGTTTCCCAGCACGTATGCCAAGTGAAAGTGGATAATATTAGGGACTGAGGGCGTATAAGCTTTTTGAATGAAAAATTAAGGTGAACACCGTAAGAAAGAGGCTTAAGTAATTGCTTTTAGATATGCATTTCCTTATACAACTGATGTTTACGGTGGTGTTGCTTGTTGGTCGAGTGCCGTCACATGGCAAATAGTTTGCGGGTGAGTGTCTTTGTAGCTTATATTATGGATTAGGTTAGACTGCTTAAGCTGTGACTTATCTTCATTTAAGACCAATTTGACAGGTTTGTGAAACCTTGAAAACCCAGTTATCAGACAATACTTTGGACTGAGCTATATAGGATATTTTAATGCTTATGTTGAGACTAGTGATTTATCCAGTGATTATGTTTCACTTGCAATTTCAGCAAATCATTCTCATATATATATCCAAGTTGCCAATGTGTACTTTAGATGATCACTTTCAATCTTTCTTTTTTAGTTATTTCTACTGCTGGTATTCTGACAAGATGACGGGAATGTGGATGGTTGTTGGATCCAGGCAATGGCACAAGTTGGTGGATTGGTTATGCTGCAACCGGAAGTGGGAGGCTCTCGTGACAATTTCTTCTTTGCTGGAATTGACAAAGTGAGGTTCCGTAAACCAGTGATTGCTGGAGACACCTTAGTGATGAGAATGACACTTACCAAGCTGCAGAAACGCTTTGGTATAGCAAAGATGGAAGGAAAAGCATATGTTGGAGGTGAAGTGGTATGCGAGGGCGAGTTTTTGATGGCTATGGGCAGTGAATGATGATTTGCAATTGACGACATGGTTGCAATTTTGCGGTAACTGTGTTTTCTTTTTTCCATCTTATAGAAATAAACCATGTGCCTTTTTTTCAGTTTGATGCTGTCAGAATCAATGAGTTTCAATTCATTTTAGACAGATTCTACATGTTTATTAGCAACCAAATGATGTTTGGTTTCTTTTGTTTATGTTGGTGGTAATGCTATACATTTCCAATGGATGTATTAGTTGTATTGGTTAGTAACTATTGGGTTTAGGCTGGGTTAGATAATGAACACTGTTCTTTTTAATCTATTATATTGGCCTTCAAGTTCTCTAGCCAAGATGTTGTTTGACTTGATATTAGATACTCTTCCTTGTGACCGCCGATAGGGTGGTCTAGTGGTTGTACTGGCGTTATTCCTCACCTAGAGGTTGGGAGTTCGAGTCATGGAGTTTTCATTTGGACTCAGTGGATAGTTGTTATGCTAGCTTAGTTATGTCTGGTCTTGAGAGATGTTTCAAACGCGATCAAGGATCTTATGATCTCACCGGCGAAGGCTTAATAAGGTGGTCGCTAGACGTTTTTCCTTACCCCAACCCCTTTTTTCAATAGCAAAAAAAAAAAAGATACTCTTGTGCCAAATGCACTGATGTTTCTTGCATTGATATGTTACCTAACATCCAAGTATGCAGAGCTAGCCTTACTATCTCAAAAAATTTAAGACAGATTTTGTTGAAATGTCTCAAGGGTGCAAGCCTTTTCTGATTGCTTGCGGTTTTTCTACATGAAAAACCACATTTTTCTTTTATCAATTGGCTAGTGGAATTTATTATCTTACAAAGAGATCAAAGTAGAAAGAATTTGAATTTTTCACAGGGGAACTCAAATCATGAAAGGATTAATCTTTTAAGTCTCGTTGGTTTTTCTCACTAAATCCATTTGCTTTTTACATCATTTTCAAGTCCTCTCTCTCTTACAAACCAAGAGCTCCAAGGGGTGTCTTTCCTTGCCCAGCCTCAAAGTAGAAAATTAGCATTGCCAACATTGCAAGTCTTGCATGCTTGATCTCTGCCAGCTTCAGTCTCTCAAGCTTCTCGGTGTCGGGAATGTAAACGCCATCCTTGATTGTTCCGGCAAGGGACAGTGGGTCGAAGAATTTGCCGCCGGGGTAGCCTTGCTCGCCGGTTGCATTAGCAAAGTTTTCAGCAGTTCTTGACCATGGAGTAGCCCATTCCACAGACTGTGACTCGGGGTTGAAGAAATCAACCCACCTTTTGCTCTCAACCCATCCCATGAGGAGGAGTTGGGTGCCGAGGAGAGACCCGAAGGAGAAGGGTGCAATGGCACTGGGGTCGGCACCAGCCTCAAACCACGGGATGCCGCTCCACGCCTGACCGACGAAGATACCAACGACCGCGGCCATCGCCCACCGGCCATGGATGAGCTCAGCCTCTCTGTACCACCTAAGGAATGCTGGATCTTTGCCTAAGCCTAGTGGGTCAAAACCAAAGTCACCTGGAAGCCTGTAGTTCATCAAATCAAATATGGGAACCTTAGTTAACCATGATTGTGAATTAAAAGCTTTGAATTCCCACACACACATAAATATACACACAAACATGCCTATAAAGATGGAATATGTTCATACCGGCCTTGCAAATCTATACTCAATCCGTTAATCTGACGCGTAATCGTCATAAAATTAGCGTGTTTGGGTTTAATCTTGGCTATGTGAATTAGTGGAGTACACTTGATCTCATTAACACGTGGACACAAATCTGATTAAATACAACACAAATATGTTCAAACACGACCAAAATATAATACATACTTGACATAATATATACTCGATTATATGCCACTATGAATAGCATGATTTTAACAAATTTGATAAGATATAACCAAGTATAATTTTATATTAATAACATTACAATTAGGGTTATTAATTAAACCGAATGAGTGGGGGCCGCAAAAGCACACGCAGGATAAGTAAGTATTTCAGGAGACGGTCTAAAAATGGGCCTAGTTCAGAAAGAGAACTCTTAACAAAACTAAGGTGGAACTAATCAAGATCAATAGAAAGAAGAGTTACCTAGGATTCTATTGACAAGGTTCATGGTACGATGATCTAACAAATTGAATTATTTGAACTCGACTCGAGTTCCGCTTGTTTATTCGTTCACTCTTGACTCGTTTTTTAAATGAAACGAATCTTAAATAATTTTTAAACTCAATTAAGAAAGCAAGGTTTTTAAGTTTGGCTCCAACTCGTTCGACCCTCGCCTAACATTGGCAATTGAGAGAGAGAGAGAGAGAGAGAGAGAGAGAGAAGGGGGGGGGAGAGGAAGAGACTTACGAGCCATCAAGCCACTCAGGGTCGACGAGGTTGCCACCAGCTTTAACACCAGGAAGCCAAGACTTTTTGGGAGCAGCAGCCGCCACCATGAACCTCCTGGGAGAGCCAGAACCACCAACTCTAGCTGAAATGGGTGCAGACAACAAGGTTTGGCTATTCTTTCCTCCAGTCAAGAAGGCTGATCCCAACCCACTTAGCACTGCAGCAGATGTAGCAGCCATCTCTCTCTCTCTCAACTCTCTCTCTCTCTACAAGACAGAAGAGATGGTGGGTGGCAAAATGTTGGGTCTTGTGAGCTAATTCTATGGATACAAACTTGGCTTTGTTATATGGGCTATACTGCATGAACTTTGGGATCAAAAGGAGAACTTTCAATGGAGAGCCAGGTGGGATAAGTGAAATCTGCAGATGAAATCTAACATCTCTCCTGGATAGATTTCGGACCAATGAGATCATCAGCTCCATCCGAATTCGCCACCATCCACGTGGACCATCTCTTCACCTCTAGTTTTGGGGACAATATTCCAAAAAAAAATAAAAATTCATCAACTAGTTTTTGGGACGACGACATATGAAAATCTTAGTTGCGGCGTACATGACTTATTTTTGATTAAATTGAAAAAAAAAATAATTAAAATACACATAAATTGATTCGAATACTTTTAAATGTTGAAAGCAATGTTATGTAACTCAAATTTATATCCCAAATAAAAGGATATTATTGGATTAGTGGATCCCATTTAATGGCAACTCAAATTTGCATTCTATTTAAAAAAGTTGATAGGACCACTCACTCAATAGTCCCTTTCATTTGTGATACAAATTTGGATTATATAGAATTTTCCAAATGTTGAACCCCCAAAAAGAAAATATTCAATATCACATGGTGTAATCAATCTATTCTTTATAAATATTAGAGGCAACTTTGTTTCTAAAAGTACGGTGCAACGTAAGTGAAATGCAATAGATTTTGGGCAGAGAATTTAAATGTGAATGATTTTAAGAGGGATGTTGTTGGTCGTTGGATGAATNGAAAGCACACGCAGGATAAGGAAGTATTTCAGGAGACGGTCTAAAAATGGGCCTAGTTCAGAAAGAGAACTCTTAACAAAACTAAGGTGGAACTAATCAAAATCAATAGAAAGAAGAGTTACCTAGGATTCTATTGACAAGGTTCATGGTACGATGATCTAACAAATTGAATTATTTGAACTCGACTCGAGTTCCNATAGAATTTTCCAAATGTTGAACCCCCAAAAAGAAAATATTCAATATCACATGGTGTAATCAATCTATTCTTTATAAATATTAGAGGCAACTTTGTTTCTAAAAGTACGGTGCAACGTAAGTGAAATGCAATAGATTTTGGGCAGAGAATTTAAATGTGAATGATTTTAAGAGGGATGTTGTTGGTCGTTGGATGAATCTATTTGAGACCATCAGATGAACTTATTAAAATATGTCTTATTTTATATTATCTATATTATTTATAAAAATAACTTTAGATGAAAATTTTTTGAATCTTTATTTCACCCTTATAAATAATTACAAAAATCACTCTATTATTTCACAATTAAATATCTGAATGTCCATCATATCCTTATTTATTTAAATCTCCTACAACATCTTTTTTAGTTATCTATTCTCTATATATAAATATTAGTTTCTATAAAAAGAAATTTGATTGACTATATTACCCTTAAAAAATAAATTATTATATTTTTAATAAAATGTTCAAAAAACCTTCAAAAAATTCATCAATCAAATATTACTTATCTCGTATGCAAATAAAAAAATATTATGTCTATATATCTGTATTTTTTTTCATCGAAAAGGCTCACCTGTTCATTTATAAGATAAAAAAATAATCGTATATATAGTTTTTTAAAATTAATTTATGTTACATCAATATAATTCTGTAGTCATGATAAATTTTCTAAGTTATATACTAAGATTTTATATAAAAATAGATATTGTAGTATATTTTTAAGTAAAACTTGAATTTTTTAAAATTTTAATATGCTTGATAATATATATTATAGAATAAGATATTAAATATTATCCCAATTGATTTTTGCTTCAATGATACTTCTTGTCTTGTAAAAGATTTGCCTTTTTAAGGTTAAAGGATTCAAGTCCCCCCTTTCCTTTCCCTTTCCCCCTTAAAAAAAAAAATTGACCTAAGTAATTCCTAAGTGCAATAAGATTCCAATGTGATTAGTATATTGACAATTACTTTTATTTTATTCAAAGAATTATAAGTGAAATCATAATCAAATGAAATTCATAAAATTTAATTTTTCAAACATCACTAAAAAATAATCTCAATCACAAATTTCTAAAAAAATAGAACATTAATTGTTTTTTTATTTTTTATTTTTTATAATTAGAACAAAGAATTTTTGGGACATACAAAATTTTCATAATCGTATAATAGAACAAACAATGAAAAATTAAGTTTGGTAAATTTGAGATGATATTTAATTTAGATACACATATACTTAATATGTTTTGTTCATTTTTTTGTACGAAAATTATTTACGTGCAACGCACCTAGTAAATTATAAATTTGTAGGACCAGTAGATTCCAACAAATTTTATAACTATCAATAATTTTTATTTTCAGTAATTATTAGTGAGATTTACTTTTTCACTTATTTATTTTATTATTGTTCGGTGTCACCAACTTGATGATAAGAACGTGATATAACTTTTGGACTCGTTTGGTTGTCATATTAGAAATAGATAGATTAGATAAAATAATTCGGTCTAATACAATAATACATAAGGACAAAAGACAAGATTAAATATTGTATTAGAATAATACGTAATTTTATCTAGTATTTGATAATATACAACATAAACGTTAGACAGTAATTATTTAATTCAATCTGTTATTTGGTTAATGAATTATTTTATCGTATTAATTTTGAATTAACAAAAATACCCTCAATCAGTGTTTGTTATATTGATGACAATTTGATTTTATCAATTAGAGAGTAACAACGGTAAATGTGTAAAATAATACGTTTGAGTTGAATTATAATACCACCTTTTTTGGTGGTATTAAAATACCTCCATAATACATGTCTAACGTATAAAAACTATACGATAAGTATACGATTATTCTACATTTTTAAAATTAATACGATATCAAATTTATTTATCAAACAAAGTATTAAGCCCGATTAAATAAAAAATAATACAATTCAATATTAAATCCCTTCATAATATGTCTACCAAATGAATCCTTTACGTTTAATATTTATTCCTAATTATGGTTTTCACTCTATGGGCCAAACTTATCCGTTTGCTTATTAGAATAATAAAAAATACAAGAATGAAAAAAAATTAAAATTTTTATATGTTTGGTTAGCTTAAAATGAAAAATGATAAAAAAATAATAATTTTCTTTTTCTCACAACTTACCAACCTTTTCTTTTGTAAAAAAGTTGTGATTTTTAACGTCTCATGGTGTAATCAATCAATTATATATAAGCATGTATGACTAGTAGATTTTACCAAATTTTTAACTATTAATAATTTTCATTTTTAATAACTATCACATAGGATTAGTGAAATTCATTTATACACTTATTTATTTACTAATTGGTGCATATGTGCGTTGCACGTGGATTATTTCAAATTATTATAATTTTTATTTACCACTTTTATAATAAAATATTGCTTTGTCAAATAATTGTTCAATGACTACACTGAAATTTTTAAAAATATAATGCTCATGTGTGTGTTGCGTATAAAATTTTTAAAATTAGTGTAATAATTTGTAGTTTTTTTAAACATCTTACAAAAATCAAAAACCTATATTTTATTGTGGATCTGTAAATCGATGACTCAGTTGCATAGTGGAGGTCAGACAAAATACAAGAAATTAATTATCATAATGCAAATTAAAGCAATCAAGGATAACAATTCATATGTATGTCAAATAAATAATGATGTATAGATCTAAAATTCTTGGAAAGTTTGGATGGGCCTAAACCAATAGTTCAACCTGCAAATTGACTGATGAAGAGTGAAATCCCCTTCTTCAGATTAAAAAGCAGCACACATACGTAACTTTAAGGAAACTGTTTAAGTCTCCTTTTTCAAATTATGTACCACAAACTACACTGGTGAAAGTTAACCAAAGCTAATTAAAATGTTCAACAAACATCTCCACTAAAATGTTTGGTTGTAATTCATATTTATTATAATTATTATAACACCATTTTTTATTGTTATTACTCTAAACAAACAATTTATTAGATTTTTTAATAGTAACCAAATTCTAATTATTCTTCCAGATGTTAATACACATGGTGTGTTTATGTTTGATTTCTCCATGAAAATTCAATTTTGTTGGTATCATAAAATCTGAGATGAATTTACAAAAAAAATAAAAAATTATAATAAATATCAGTGGAAAAACAATACCACAAAAAATAGAGATGTAGAGAGAATTGAATGCGTGGAGTAATGCATGCTGAGAGCAGCAGAGAAAGATAGGGAGAAAGAGGAGAACATCAAGAGTTTCGAAAAGATAAATAACAGAGAGAGAGAAGTTTATTTGGAATGAGGGAAGATGAAACGACAAGGAAAAGAGAAGATTGGGAGGCGTAGGTTTTTTTTTGAACATAAGGAGGCTTAGATTTATTTTAGCTTTAATGTTGAGGGATAAGAATGAGATAGTTGTGATTTTAGAGGATAAAAGTAAAAAAAAAAAAAAAATTCTAAATATGCTCAATTTTTAAAGTAGTATAGATTATTGATTGGTGTCATACAATAACAACGTGGTATAACTTTTACATTTAATATTTATTCCTAATTATGGCTTCCACGCTAGAGGTTAAACTATAATACTAAAAAGTAAAATATAATGTTATTTGTACTTAGATATAAGACTTAATTTGTTGACTTGACGATGTATCAGGTGATATGATCCCAATAAAATAGTTTAATAGTTATAATTAAAAGTAATATTATCAGATTAGATAATTACTACATCAAGTTTGTAAATTAGCTTAGGTTTTTAAATACAAATAATATTACTTACTAAAAATTAATTTTCAATCTTTTTCCAACCAATGATTTTTTTTTTTTATTCTAGTCTATTATTTCACTTCTAACTTGAATATTTTCATGATTAATAACCATAAATAAATTAACAAATATATATGATAACAAATAATTTTTTAATATGGTAAAGTTAAATAACTAT